GTGGGTACCAACAAAACCCTTCACTGGGGATGACCTGGTGCTGCATCTTCCTTTCACTGAAGGCAATGCCTTCCAATGGCACCCTGTCGAATTACAAAGGTCTAGGCAGGATGATAGTATCGTCTGGTTGGTTTCTACCCTCTTGTACGATGCCATTTGGCAAGTGTTCAACTGCTAGGTGGATGTACACAAAGAGAGCCATCCTTCCTGGCTACAGCATTTTCTTCCTCAACACAAACGATTTGGGTCAAGACACAGAGTGTAAACTTAGCTCACCTGTTTATGGAGGAGCGTGGATGACAGAATCAATTTTAAAATAGCTCAATGTATTGGAATGTAGGATGAAATAAAAAAACGGACAAGCAGTCGATTCTGATCCTTCCCCAGCCTGTCCTAGGTGAGTTGAAGAGTATGAAGTTGCTTTAAAAATCTAGGAAGTTGGCCAGGGAATAAAATTCAGGATCCTTTTCATACATGTGCAACAAATACATCAAAGGACTCGACTCCTACCCTGATTGATGCTTTTAGAAGCAGCTTCCTATGTCACTTGAATGACACATACTTTGCAATATAACATAAATATTAACGAAGCCCCAGCCCAATATGATGCATGTATGCTGGAGAATGAAATAGCTCCAGACGGTTCAACATACTGAGACACACCATTTCTAACCCGTGCGTGCAGACTCAGGTAAAGCAGGAATCATATTTTTTCTCTAATTTAATCCTCTCGATAGCCAAAAAATGTGGTAGTAACTATAGAAATTGCTACCTATTTCAGAGCATATTTTGTTCTTTTCGTTTTTCTTAGCTCCTCTGTTTTTGAATCTTGTATACTAAGAAAGAGAGGTATAGCCTTCACTTTGAGAAGTAGCCTTTTAAAAACCAGCTTTCTTTGTTATTTTTACTTTTAAAGTATATGCTTATTGTAAAAAATTTGGAAAACAAAAAAAATAAAAACAGCCATAATCCTTCCCTACTACCCCCACCCACCCCAAATAACCACTTATAACATTTTGATGGGTTTCCTTTTTCCTTCCTGTCTTTGTTCTATTTGTTTATACCATTTGACCTCGTTCAGGTTGTGGAGGGAGAACCCTCTCCTTAGGGTTTTGCTGTAAAGGTCAATGGATCCAGCTAATTAACAGGAAAATAATCACACTTTACATTTGGATAACTGTTTTAATTTATCAAAGCACCTGGACATCACCATCCCATTTGGTGATGTATCAGATAGATTAGGCCATTTATCCGGGTACTAAAGCCAGGAAGGAAAGAGGGGACCTTGCCCCTTACCCTATGGCTTGGGAGGGTCAGAGCCAGGTTTGAGGTTTCTAAATTTCTTATCTAGAGATTTTCCCCTACAATAATTTCTTATTTTGCTTTCCAATGAAAGGCTGTATATCTACATACAGAAATTCAGTTTGAGAGCTGGTACTTCTACTTCCTGTGGTTTATTTTTGCACCATAGAGCACATTTGTATGTAATGTGTCTTCTGAGCTACCAGCCTGGGAACCCTGCCACCGTCGCATGCACAGCCGCAGTTCGTTTCCTCTGTCGCCTGAGCAGCTGGGCTGGGTCCCTGGCAGCAGGCATCTGGGGCACGGAGCTGCCTCTTCAGCTCTCCTGCCAACAGAAGAGACTTGCCTCCGGTCGTCTCCCCACGTACCTGCCTCAGCCCCCGTGTATGTATCCATTGCTGTGTCTATAACCAAAGCAGTGGGCCCTTGGTGGAAACTTGGACATTTCAACAGAGAGCTTTCCACGTAAGTGGCACCTTGACCATCTGCCTCTGGCCTTCCTGCCTGACCCTTGCCAAATTTCCTTACTGCGAAAAACAGTTCCACATTTGCTAAGGCTTTAATTTCTGTTTTTTGATTTCTATTTTTAAACTTCCGGTTTTTGGCCTCTTTATTTATGTATTCTTTCCCCTTCCCCCAACTGGAACATTTTATATTAAGTCAAAAAATTAGACAGACTTAACAATAGATAAAATCTAGGATTTTCATGGACAGGATGGTAGGAAATGAGATTGAGGGTGGCTGTAGGAGGTTAAAAAGAGAAAAAAAAAAGAGGCAGAAAGGGAGACTAGGAGGCATTTTAAAGAGAAATCAGATGAGAGAGAGATCATGGGAAACTCGGGAATTTCTGAATGGGGCATTTTAGCAAAAAGTAAATGAAAAGTCCATGTTTCTGGAAACAGACCTGGTGAGCCAAAAAAAAAAAAAAAATTAAAAAAGAAGTCAATGTCATCTGAATTATGGTGTTGTGAAAATTAAAATATCTGATTATTGACATTTAGAATGTGTCTCCCCAACACTTTGAAGCTGCCATTTCTTCTGCAAAAAATGCTTGTCAGTTTTATTTTCAAATATCAAAGACTATTTTTAAAATCAAAATGTCTTTTCACACAGGATTCTTATAGTTTTTCCTGAAAAAAACTGTGGCCAATCTATTCCTTGCACAGCCCAAGCCAGACAATCACACAGATCACCATTCTCTTCCTCACAAGCTCCCTGCCAGTTCTGTTTGGAAACATCATTTACGTCAAAGTTCTAACACCATCTGTTTCTGGATTTTGTTCTATTTTCTCTTTATCTATTTGAGACCAGTAAAGAGTTACGTAGCAGTTAGAAAAACAGCAACAATAATTGCTGTTTAAGGTGAGTGGATTAGTGAGTGAATCGGTCTAGGTGGTCCAAATGGTGGCTTCAGTGGCCTCCGTGCCGGGGCTGTGATTACATCTCACTCAGGGTGGTGTCTGTCACCCCTGGACAGAGCTGTCTTTCCAGTGAATGAGTCTTTACCCAGCACCTCTCTTCCTACGATTCCCACTTGACTGCGCTTCAGCAAAGCATGATCGAGGGCATATCTGGGGGCCTGTGGTGAGCCGACTAGTCACGCAGCCCAGCACAGACACTGGTCACCTTAGCACAGCCAGATGTGTAGGTAAGAGCCACGTAACCAAATCATTCTTTCTGCCTCAGAGTGGCTGAAAATCTTTAATTAAACTCAGTGGTATTTTGTTCCATTTGGGCAAGAATGAAATTAGATGGTTTTGACATTAAATTTTCCATCTAGTTTTCTATTTATCATCCCTAGATAACTCATCTCATAATAGTCAAAGGCAAAAAAAAAAAATTATACCTTATCTTTTCATGCCAACTAGTTTCCATGTAATTGTATCTCATGCCCACTCATCTGTTTCCCTTAACTCATCAGCTCACATTTGTTCTTTGATTTCAAATCTGCTATTTTCCCAGTGGGAACATCGCCTCTCCCATATGTGGAAGAAAACACTGGTTCCTTGGGTTCCAAAGCAGCTGTTGGCAAAGCCCCTGCTCATTCACAGAGTGAAATCGGTGTCGTCCTACCTGAACTCATTTTCAACCCTGAACCCTTTCCTTCGGGCCAGCTCCATGAGGAACGTCCTGCGGGTGGTTCCCATTTTCTTCTCCAAAATGAAGAGGACCAAATCTCGAAATTTGACGTCCTGAGGCATGGAGGCCGTCGATGCACCTGTCTGCCTGGGTCTCTTCTTCCGAGGACCCGAGTGGGCCGTTTGCAGAGGATCCATGGGAAGAGGCTGCTGCTGCCTCTGGCTGTGCCATCCAGTGGTGTCCCCAGAAGTGAGGGAGAACCTGCCACCCTCCCGCATGAAGGGCTTTGATGTCATCTCACCGGTAGACTCTGAAGCCAGGGCAAGGCTTCATGGGTGCTGCCCTGGCAACAGCTTCCTGCCAGAGAGCAGTGGGGAACTTTTTAACTCTACTCAGTTCATTTGTCTAATATGGAAAGCATAATGAAAACAGTAAATTAACTTTTGTTTTCATGTACATAATCCCACCAGCTTCTCAGAATAACCTTGTGAAGAAGGTAGGGGAGCGTCACCGTTTTCATTTATTGATTCTTAAACATATTGAGGCCCCTCTGTTGTTTTTATTTATTGATCCCTTTTTAACCTCCCAACTCACTTGCATGCTCTTCCTCTCATAGGCAATCATCATACTATATTGGATCTCTATAGTTTGCATGGGTGTTACAGGTTGTATGTGGTTATCTTGATTCTACGTAAATCAGATTGTTACATTTCTCATTCTGCTAATCGCCTTTTTTTTCACTTGGAACTATGTTTTTTAGATGCGTGTTCCTCTCTGCTGCTTCTAATTGCACTGTAGTTCTTCATAGTGGGCATTTATCACATGTTACCTTATGTGGGTGCATTTTATAAATGAGGAAACCAAGACAGACACTTTGAATAATAAATCACAGACCAAGGGGTCAAGCCAGATCTTGAATTCAGTTCTTCTGACTCCAAATTCTATATCTCTTATTTTCCAGTGGACTAAGGTTGTCCAGGGAGTAGTCTGATATTACAACCCTAAAATAGATCTTTTGCAATGGGATAGGATAAACTTAGATGAGAATCACGGCCATAAAAAGACATTTTTGTAACTTTATATGCAAAATAAAATTTGTCTTTCATCGACACACTTTATAGATCTCATCTCCTGAGCATCTACTGTGTGGCCAAGACAGGCACCTACCAGGCTTAGCTGACTGGACCCTCACAATACCACTGTCAGGTAGGTACCACCATTCTCATTTGGCTAAACAACTTGCTCAAGGTTTCACAGCTAGTAAATTGTCACAACTAGGAAATGATTGAGATAAGATTTGAACTCAGATCTGTCTGATTATAAAACCTGTGCCCTTAACCACCAGGGAGCCCTCTTCTGTACATGTCTTCCCCACTAACAAATCTGAGCTCTGCTCACTCACTCTGCCGTATTATTTGAGACTTTTGATACCTGCTAAAGCACATGAGCCCCTCACCACAGCACTGGGGAAAGAGCAATGTGATAGCTGCCTTCAAGCATTGGCAAAGCCCTGGATTGCTCAAGAAAGGAAAACCAAAAATCTTTAGGTGGATGTTGTACAGTAATGGATTTCAGTTCTCTGCATGTAAGAACTGTTTAGTTACTACAGCTGTCTAAAAATAGAGAGAGAGCTGCTTTGTCCGGTTGTATGTTGCAAGTCATGAAAAGTATTCAAACAGATGCTGGATAACTGTTTATTGAACTGTTACAGAAGGGATTCAAACATCTGGTAAGGGCCTTTAATACAGCTCTGAGATTCCAGGATGCTATCATTGTTTGCTAGAGATCAAAATTTGGGGGATAAGAGTCCATTTTGGCCCTCATTATTAGGTGTTCGGCTACTGAAGTGATGAATGCTTTCAGGTCAGAACACAGTCTTAACTACCAAGTGATGCCACAGCATGGAAAAACCAAAGGATTCCAGCAGGAGTCCGAGGTTGTTTTGTTCATTCCCAAGGTAGGACCACCTAATGCAAAGGGGTGCCGCCCAGACAGTAAAGGGAATGGGGAGGTAGTGCAGAGATGTGACTGAGAGCTCAGGCTTTGACATCAGCCTGCGCATAAAAATTCTGTCTCCATTGCTTTGAAGCTGTGACCTTGAGCAAGTTGCTTAATTTCTTTAAGCCTTAGATTTCCCCATCTGTAAAATGAGGACCTAGATCACTCACATAACCTGCTGGGCAGAGTGCTTGACACAGAGGAAGCCTTTTAAATAAATGTCAGTTGGTTGCAATTTGTATTGTTTTTAAAGACATTCCTGTTCAATCTGAAATCAGATTTATATGTTTTGTAAACCTTAAATCATCAAAATACTGTATTAACCAATGTCATATTTAATTTCCTTTGAATAATTGATATTGAAAAGATTGCCAACAAATATTTAAAATGTGATGATGCCTGCCTGGTTATTGGGCTATAATCTCTCGGCTCCAAATCTACCTTTCTCTGATGGGTTCCGTGAGACTGAGCCTGTATTACTCAAATCCTACTTCTCCTTTGTCAGCTGACTCTATGTTAGACTCTGCCAGTAGGGGGCACCCCTTGCTACTACTGTCAGGGTCCTCTCAGTAATGCCTCTCTACTTGGGCAGCAGTAAATGGTCCCAGTCTCAGGTTTTTTCTTTTTTCTTTTATTTCTGCACAATCAGACCCAGCCTCATTGTGTCCTTCAGCTAGGCAACATCTCCTTCTCAAATGTCTGAGTCCCAGCTCTGCAGGGATTTTCTTAGGAACTTATACGGTGCCAGCAGCAGCAGGCAGCACCATCTTGTCAGAGATCTGTGTTCTAGCTCCACAGTGACCCCTGCCCGGAACTTCCAGTTTTCAACAATCCCTGCTCCATCGCATTGTTGCCCCAGCCCTAGGGGTGGGCCGTGCTTCCTGCAGTTACTCTACATTATCTCAGGGTGTTAGAAAATGGTAACTCACCCACACTGCTGGAGTGATCTTCTTTCAAAAGGGAAATCTGACAACAGTGTGAAAAAATCTTTAAGATGTCTAAATCTCTTGACTCAAGATTTCCATTTTTTAGGAAAGAAAGACACATAAATACGTATGTTCTAAGGTTAACATTATCTATACAGGGAGGACTTAGAAACAGCACAGATGTCTAGTAACAGGGGATTGATAAAGTATAACAGAGCACTATGCAGCAACCTAAATCGTGTCATATGAGAACATTAAATAACATGGGTAAATGTTCCTAATCTGACAATGGTAAAAATCTGTTACAAAATAGTGGTTACTGTGTGACACCAACTTTGACACAGAAGACTATAAAACATATGGCGAGTCTAACACTATCATAGTGGATATCACAGGTTGTTGTCTTTATGCATGATTTATATTTTTGTCTTTGTGCTTTTATGTGTCTTGCAAATTTCCTAAAATAAACACGAATTATGTTTATGACCACAAAAACAATTACTTTTTTAAAAAGACTACCTTGAGTTGACACTATGTGGCCTTAGTGAAAAGCTACGATTCAAAGGCAGTAGGGTTGCTCCAAGTAAGCTAAATAGCAGTTGAACATGTTTTCTGATAACTGCAGCATGCACAGAGTTGAGAGACAAACGCTTTTATACTTATGTAGAAATCATACCTTACTGCCAGGCGAGACGCCATTGAAGTAGAATTTCTGTGCTGAGGAAAGAAAGGGGCTTAGTAACTCCACCTGGCTTAGATAACTTACTGAAACTGACTCTGGGGATAGAGTTTGTGGCTTCTAAGTCCACTTTCCTGCCTCAGAGGGTCCTTTTCAATGGCATCGCGTGACTCATGCTAGGAGCACAGTTATGAGAGCAGAAACCGTCGCCATGGCTGGGGAAGGGAGCCGTGAAACTGCTCAGCCCCACCTTAAAATGGGTCTGAGAACACCAAAGTCTCATTGCCATTTCAGGAATTAAATTAGATCGCATTCATGAAGTGCCTTAAAAATAAGGAACCACTCTACAAAGGGCAATTGTTCTTACCATCCTCCTTGGCATTAGTGCTAATAGCAGGAGTTGATTTCTTCTTACTCGACCGTCATATTCTGAAACTATTTGCATCAGATGTTGAGTACCCCCTTGTGAAACAGATTGGTCAATAGCCTCCAAATCTCAGTGGCTTAACATAACAAAAGTGTATTTTTCTTTCATGCTACATGTTGGTGGTGAGTTCTGCTCCACTCAAGACTTGGGCTGATGCACTGCCTGGACCATGAGGCCATCTTGGTCACCACAGCAGGGAAGAAAGCACTGAGGCGAGGAGGTCTTACATCAGCAGTTGAAAGCTTCGTCTCAGAAATGATACACACGACTGCCAGGTATAGTCACACAGGCCCACCGAGCTGCAGCAGGGCTGGGAAATGCAAGGGAGCTCGTGGGATTTGCGGGAGTGTTCCTACGCCTGCCACACTCAGGACTAAGCTAAGTGCTGGTTGATGATTGTGGAGACTCCCAGTTAAGGGGGTGTTACTGCATTGGCACTAAGCCTGGGGAGCGCTCCACTTCCTGGGGAGAACCTCCAAGAGGAAGACTACCTTGTGCAGTGGTCAGGCCATTCTGGGGCTTTCCTAGAATTCTAAGCTATCGGTCTGGTCCTTCCGAAGGTACCTCCATACCGATCCTCCTTTTGAGCATCATCCAGAGAGGATAGTTCTTTATAAAGTGTCAAAGGGCTATCCTAAGTTTGGGGCCGATGCCCTTCCTGCTCCCATAGTCTTCTGTGCCTCCTTGCCCGTAAGAGCATGTGCCATCCTGTGGTGCAAGTTCCTTGCGTGCACCTTCCATTGGACGGACTGCAAGTCCTGTTGTATTCACAGTCTCATCCCTAGCAGCTGACACGGTACCTGGTAAGGTAGGCAACAGTAAATGTTTACAGAACAAATTAGAATTCAAATGTAAGTTGATATTATTATTAAGTTTTTACACTGTTTGGGCAACTATGATATGACTCTTCTGCCACGACCACCCTTCTCCACACCACACATTCTCAACTAAATATCTCTTCAACATGAGCAAGTAGAATACAGGTATTAAGGAGCCAGACTACCTGGATTCAGCACTGTGAGCTGTGTGACCTTGGGCAAGTTACCAAACATCTCTGTGCAATGGGGGGGAGTTATAAAGATTTTTATCTTATAGGTTGTTATGAGGACTAAACAAGCATTTCAAAGAGTACCGACATGTAACGAGTGCTCAGAACTGACCACTGCTGTTATGATAGCTCAGGCTTCTCCTTGTTCCTTCTTCCTGTCCCTGTGTTCCGTACCCTTTACAGGTGTTCCTGGCAGAGTACTTCCCAAGGGCCTTTTGCTTTCTCTAGACCTTTCCAAAAGTGGTGTCAGACCCGCTCAAGAGCAGACCCAGGATTTCAGTGAGGCTGGA